TACACTACTGAATGAAAAAAATGTACATATCTGCGGTATTTTACGTAAAAAAATATATCTTGGTAAAATTCGCTGTGAAGAATGATCCTCAAGATAATTGGAATCAAAAACAGTCAATACATGTCATTATTGAATTAAGCATGTTGTCTAGATAGTTATTAGACTGAAATCATAAATTTGATATGTTTTGGTGCCAAAGGATCAACAAAAACTGTTTTATTATAACTTCTTCTAGAAAAAATTATGATTATTTAAAAGAAATAAAATGTTACAAAATTTATCATTTCAGTCAAATTACTATCTAGTCAACACATGATTAGTTGTCAATAATGGCATGTATTGACTATTTCTATTGCAAATATCTTGAGAACGGTTGCTCGTAGGGTATTTTTCGGAAATGTATGTTTTTTTCACTCAGTAGTTTTATATAGGTAGGGACAAAACGTTATTACTCCTCAAAATAGTTAAAAAAACATGTAGGTGGTGCTCCCTACGAGTCATATGACATCAAATTTAAATTTCTCATGTCAAAAAACACCGAGACGCCAATTTTCATCCAAAAATCGGCTATAATTTAGAAATTGTTTGGAAAAAAACTGAAATAAAAATGAAAGTTTTACACCCTGTATCTCCGAAACGAAGCATTTTAGGGCACACATTTTTTACTTATTTTCATTTGCAGAATATGATGTCGAAGTTTCCCGAATACAATTCGGACCGCCCTGTATATAAAATAACAGTTTTTGAGAAAAAAAGATTGAAGCAAAAAACAAGGTGTCTACTATCTAACGGCACGAAAAACGCACACATTATAGTTATTAATGATACAAGTTCGATACGAACATCACAATGAAACGCGTGTAACGTCAAGCCACGAGGCGTTAGTCGATTAGCTTAGTTACACAAGTTTCATTAAAAAGTTCGTATCGAACGTGTATCATTCAAAATTTAATCTACAACGCGACACGAGGGACGATCCAAAGAGATTTGATTTAATTTAAAATATCAGAGATATCCTCATAAAAATTAAAATTCAAAATTATCAGATGCCCATATTAGTCGACGGCGTGGTAACGGTAACCGTGCTTGTTGATTGTTTCCATTTTGACTTTGACAACTCATTATTGATGTTCAATTTTGTGTTAAACGTTCAGTTTTTTGTGGGGTATAGAAATGGAAAATGTATTAAGCAACCCGTTGGCATTAAGCCTTTAGGGAAAATGCCGTATAAAATAGCATTGTTCCTAAGTCTTCCAGATCCACAACAATACACTGGCCATTGTTTCTGTAGATCGTCTGCGTCGTTGCTTGCAGATTCAGGAGTGGATTTATTAACTGTTAAAAGCAGGGTTAAAAGACATGGTGGTTAGCGCTCTAACACAGTGGCAGAGAGCTATATAGAAAATTTAAAAGAAAATAAGAAAAAAGTGTCAGGTAATATTTTAACATTTCTGACAATGATGGGTCTTCAACAAGTTCAAGCACTCAGGAAATAAATTTACTTTCTAAAAATTCAACTCACCTGTCATCGTCTGGAATTAATTTAACCAATTGTACTGATATTATAATTAATGTTTACAATAAATAAACGTATTTAGGTACCTTTTTTTGCTTGTTACTTATTTTAAAATTTGCGTGTTATTAAGAATTCATAATAGCACTAGTGCTATTATGAAAGCCCTAATGACATCCAAATGACAATGTTAAATGTGTCATAATGACATTGTCGTAGATTAAAATTTTCATGTATTTTCAAGTTTTACATAATATTGTGTTCCAGTTGACAGATTTTGATTATTTTTTAAACAATTAAGCTAAATTATTTGACTTTTTAGTATCTCTTTCTCAATTAAAAATGAAAGTTGCCATCTGTCAATTATACGGGGAAACCAAACCAAACCAAACGAAAACAAAACAAAATGTTGATATGTTGGTGAATGTTGGAGTACGTTAACCAAGCAAAGAATTTAAAAATCACTTTATCACAAGTGTATCTTTTCTCGATAATTTGTTTTTTGATTTATCTCAATAACTTCATTTTTTTGGAGTTGTTCGCTTTTGAAGGAAACACTAACATTTTTTCGAATTTTTTACTTTAAATCCATGACGTTGCTTTTGGTTTTAGTCAACAGACTTATAAAATAGTGTTTATGATTTATGTAATATCTTTGAAAACTCATATTATTATAGTCTCTTAGGCAGTTACTCTAGCAGATAATATGGTTTTCCAAAAGTTGATCTCTACAATGATTAATTAAAGCAGCAATAGTCGATAGTACTTCAGAACTTAAAATTATCTCTACCAGAGTAAACGTCAATAAACAATAACCATTTAATTTTCCAATGATAGTGACATTACAAAAACAATATACACTATTTCATAAGTGTGTTGATGAGGACCCAAAATCAATGCTAAAAATGCTATAAATCGTTACTGTCTTATTCAAAAGCGAATATCTTTAATAAAAATAAAGCTATTTAACAATGCAAGAAATTTAAAAATAATTTTGTCATCTAGGTACGTCTTTTCTGGATAGTTTATTTCTTGATTCATAAGAAATAAACTATCCAGAAAAGACGTACCTAGATGACAAAATTATTTTTAAATTCCTTGCATTGTTAACATATTCCACAGGGTGTTTGAAACTTTCACTAAAATATCAACATACTGTTTCCGTCGTATAATTGACAGATGGAGTTTCATTTTTAATTTAGAAGGTGATACTAAAAAGTCAAATAATTTAGCTACTAATTTCTTAAAAAATCATAAAAAATCGGCCCACTAGAACAAGATATATTAAACTTTAAAATACATCAATGGCCGTTTTTGGTGCAGGTGAGTGTAGTTTAAGAGACAAAATAATTAGAGATTAATACAAATACCTTATATGGCGAAAATCTTTTATAACATAACTAATATATTTTTGTATATTTATATTCAATAAAGAACATTTTATCGTGGAGAAATAAACAAAATAAATTAATCTTTTATTTAAATCCATTTTCTCCATTACACATATCAAACAAAACTCACTTATGCAAATTAAACGCCTTTATCTAAAATTTATAAACCAATAAATAACACCTCGAAGAATCCATTTAAACGATTCATTACTGCTTCCACTATCTACGACACTGGCCGCCTTTAACTATTCAACAAGCATTGATTAATCATAGGAAAAAACAATTTTCTTCAAAGTCCCATTGGTAAATAAAGAACTTTCGGATTCTTTAGTATTTTAACTCTACACGTCTGATGCGAACCAGCGTTTGTTGGCTCGTTTGAATTCAAAAAAGATTAATTCGATTCAATTAGAGAAAGATCTTCGAAAGATAATCGTTATTGTGTTTGGTAAATTCTAGGATTTTGATTAATTTGTTCAGCAAAAATTATTAGCCATTTGCGTTTCCTTTGTTATTTTTTCGAGATAAAGAAACATGTCGTATCCGAAAGGTTTTATACCAAGAGATGTCGAGTCTAGAAGAGTTAGCGATAATATTCGCATAGAAACAGCCGATTCTAAAAGATTTTACAAACAACCTGATCCGTATCTATTAGATAAATACGACAACTTTTATGAAACGACTAAAAGTCTGTTGGTTCTGTTTCAAATCATGGGAGTGATGCCGATTGAACGTATGAAGGGAAAAACTATTTTTAGGTAAATATATTTGAGCAAATATTGAACCAGATAATCACCAAATTATATTTTCTTAGTTATTACGTAGATTGCAGTTGAGGGTTAGAACCTTTGGTGTTACAACAGTAAAATAAAACACTAATTGACCACAATACACCAAACAATTTACTTTTGCACTGGACAAGTGTTTCTCTAACCATGTTAGCATCATCAGCAAATTATTAAAACTACTTAAACTAGTTAAGTAGTTAGTTTTAATCATTTTATATTATTTATATATATTATTATTTTATTATAATTTTGAGAACTACTGGATTTTTTCTGTTTTTTTTTTGGAAAATTTAATTTACTACCTCTATGTTGCCATATTATTAATTATGAAATTATGTTTTTTTATCTAAAAACTAAAAAAAATCAAAAGTTTTTTAAAAAAATCAATTTTTTTACTACCCCTAAAAATATTTACACTTACTTAAGAATCACTCTGTATATTGTACATTGTTGTATTTTATTTCAGATGGCATTCTCCAACTACATGCTGGGCATACTTTATCTACACGGTAGAAACCCTGTTTGTAGGAGTCATATTTAAGGAACGTCTAGTGCTAATTTTGCAGCCCGGAAAGAGATTCGACGAGTACATTTATGGGGTGATATTTCTAAGTATTTTAATACCACATTTTTTATTGCCAGTCGGTGCATGGACCAATGGATCTGAAGTAGCAAAATTTAAGAATATGTGGACTAAATTCCAGGTGATATCTATATGTATAATTATGTACAAAGAATATAAATAAATTCACAAAAATACAGGATCCAAATTATATATTGATGCTTGCTCAAAATAACATTCAATAGATATCTGTCTGTCGTATATATGTTACGGTTAAGGTCCAATGTCCGGTTAATGTCGACATTACCCGGTTAATCTCGAGAAGAACACACAACAAAACAACCAAAAACGTAACCTAACCCAAACATTAACATGTTAATGTCGACATTAACCGGACATCGGACTTTAACTGTAACATATATATTTTGATCACTTTATTAAACACTGGTTCCTTCTATGATGTATCTCAGTTCTTGAGAATTTTTGCTTCTCTCTTTATTCTTCTTCTTTAATTTTCATTTAGCATATTTTTTTTAATTCATTAAATTATTTTCTTTAAATTTTCACTTAGCATCAAATTTTCACATACCTACATCATAATGAGTAGCATCACTTTGCATACTAAGTGAAGAGTGTTTTGACATTTCATAATACATTTATCTAATTTTTGATCCTTATTTTAGCTAAAATACTATAAAATGACCGGCAAGCCAATCATCTTTCACCGACTAGCCTTAATAACTTACTCCCTATGCGCGTTCTCATGGTTAGTTGGCATTCTGATAATGCTTGCCCAAGTCTATCTCCAACCAGACATGCTGCTATGGCACAGCTTCGGGTATTACCACATTTTGGCCATGCTCAATTGCTTGTGTTCGCTGTGGTTCATCAATTGTACTGCCAAAGGACGGGTGGCTGGCTGGTTGGCTGAAGATTTGCATCTGGCTTTGCAAACCAAAGATTCAGCTAGAAAATTGGCGGAGTTCAGAGAGATGTGGGTGGATTTATCTCATATGATGCAACAATTAGGTATAGTAAGCTAAAACGACCTCTACACTATTCGCAAAATACTTTTCGAAAGAAGTATTCGGAAGACAAGTCGGAATTAACTATCTCTGCGCTGTGGTTGTCATTTTGAGGATCTGCCCATGCTCACCCGATGATGGAGTAGGGCTCCGAAACCGGTAGTGAGAGCAGGTTGATCCACATTATGACAAACACAGCGTAGAATTAAATTTCTATATCAGCAGTTAAGTGGTAAGAATCCTTATATAATTTTATTATATACCTATACTGCAAGAAATTTGTTTTCTATTTTATAATTTGGCTCGCCTGAAAAAAAACCTCTTACCATCCTTTTAATATCGATAGTTCTGCCTCGGTGGTACGAAAGTACTACCATTGCACGCAGGCCGCTCTATCCCGTTAGGGACTTAATATCTAACCGACACTTTCCGACAAGTCGGAATTAACTATCTCTGCGCTGTGGTTGTCATTTTGTGGATCTGCTCAAGCTCACCTGATGATGGAGTAGGTCTCCGAAACCGGTAGTGAGAGCAGGTTGATCCACATTATGACAAACACAGCGTAGAATTAAATTTCTATATCAGCAGTTAAGTGGCAAGAATCCTTATATAATTTTATTATATACCTATACTGCAAGAAATTTGTTTTCTATTTTATATTTTATATTTAGGTACTATTACATATATTTTACATATGAGATAACGGCGATCTTCATTTCCAAGCCAACCCTGACGCCATTCTTTATTTAATCATATAATATTATATTAAATTGTTTAATGATAGGAAATCCGTAGATATTATTAACGTACCTACTGTACTCAAAATACGTAAATCTACGGATTAATCAGTAGTTCTGGCAATACTGTCTCCGACAACCACTCTGTCGACTGAAAGCAGAACTACGGTACAGTATTCTTTATCCGCTGCACTGTAAAGGACTATCAGCGAGCAGCGGCGTAGAACTAAATTAAATCTCGAAATTCTCGGACAGGCTAACGCCAGCTACATCTCGGACAGGTTTTTTGCCACGAAATTGCCCATAAGTTTGCGTATCTTCTTAGTTTTTCAATCAACGACATATCAGCTTGCCATATTGATGATGTTGCCTGTATTAATAAATTAAGGCTCTAAACAATTACAATTACAATTTCATATATTAATTGTTCATTATAATAACATCAAATAACAAATATATTGTGATTATATTCCTGCAGATTAAGTAAAAGGTTTTGTTCTTAAATATCTGCTATACATATTATAAACGCGTGTTCAAATGTTAATCTTGTGGAATATACCATACATAACGAGATGTAGGTAATTAAAGAAATATCATTATAACAACTGATAATTTAAAAACGTCTAGGTTTATTTCTTTCGCTGAAATTTATGAGAAAAAGGTCCTTTGACTCGGGTTTAAACCCCGACACAATGTAGAAGCAGTTGTAAACAAAACGAAATTGAACGAGACAACAGGAGACAACCAAAAATTATTAATAATTAAATAAAATTCGAAAAAAAAATTGTAAATAGAGTTGTGTCTCTGGAAACGTTCTATCCTTTTCTATTTTATGTATAATTAGTGTTAATTTTTGTCAATTTTTAGTAAATGACGTCTCGAGATTGGGCTCGCCAAAAGTATCATTTTCCTGCCGTTATTTTTTCGATCATGCGGTATTATCATGGTGATATTTTCTCTCTCTTTTGTGTCATTCTTTATAACAGAGCATATACAAGGCGTCCCAGAAATAAGTGCAAGTATTTTAACTGGTAGTATATTGCTGCCTCAGAAACACGCCTATGAGGTATTTTTCGTGAAAAAAAAATTTTGAAAAAAATTTAAAAAAAAATTGGGAATTTTTTCAGTTTTAAGTTAAAAAACATAATTTCTTGATAATATGGCAATATAGGTAGTCGCTTAAATTTACATAAAAGAAAATCCAGAAAAGATCCAGTGGTCAGTGGTTCTCAAAATTTTAGCAAAAAATGTTTTTTTTTGGAAATTTTCAAAGTAAAATAACTCGGTTATTTTGGACTTATCTGAAAAACGGTAAAGAGAAAAAACGTTTCTTTTGACCAGATCTACCACCCCTCAAAATACTTGCACTTATTTCTGGGACATCCTGTATATTGATCCGTTTCTGTAAATCCATAAAACAAGATCATGACTTCCTTCTGTGTTTCAGGTAAAGCGTACAGTGGCATGTACGCTCTGTACTGTTTGCTGGTACTGCTCACGACTATAGTAGCGACCTACGGTTGTCTAACTGAAATATTAGACAACGGCTTGTCTTTGAAACAAGCCGGGTTGTTCATCATATCGTTCTACTGTTTAACGTTGCTTTTCATTATCTGTAACGAAGCTCACGTGGCATCGAGAAAAATGGGACCAGAATTTAGGTAAAACTGTTTAATTAGTTATCCTTTGTACTAATTCTCAGTATATTAGTTTATTACTTGGTTTCTTCTGTCTTATCTTATTACAATTAATTGTTACTTAATTATTACAAGATAAACAATACATTATTTAACTTTTTAACGTAGACAACCGATTTAAAATAGGTAAACACAAAGAAATCATTTATTCAACGTCAAATTTTGGTTATTGGCTATTCAACCCTAGTTTCTGTGTATAGAATTATTGCTGAAGTGCAGTAAAAATATCAAAAACTTTTATTGACAGCGTGTTATCTAAATGCGGCACAAGTTCATTTTCAGGACAGTTTATTAAGATAACACGATGTAAATTATTATTCATATAAACTTAATTTAAATGTAATTTTATTTAATTTAATTTAACCAGATAATTTTGCTGTCCATCGTACTATCTTCATAAACTGCCCTGAAAATAAACTTGTGCATTTAGATCAAGTTTACATCATCATTTAGAGAACACGCTGTCAATCAAAGTTTTTGACATTGTTAATGCACTTGTGCAATAATTCTACACAGAAACTAGCGTTTAATAGTCAATAACCAAAATTTGTCGTCGAATAAATTATTCGATTGATATTATATAAGTTAAAAAGTTAAAAAATGTATTTTCTCACCTTATTTATGAAAATAAGTATATATTTTCAGAAAGCTAATGGGCAAGGCAAATAAAAAAAAAATAATGTACTTACAGGATGTCACATTTAAAAAAAAACAAAAAGTTGAGTCATATTTCGGAAATGACATCTCCCAGGGAAAAAGTAGTTACGCCACTGGTTTTTACGTAAAATATTGATTGAATTAAATATATATAGGAAATATTGATAAAGAATTTGATTTAAATGCAACATTTTAAAATTCGCCCTGTATTTCAGAAACCAAGGGGGTTAGGACAAATCTGTCTGTAGAGTATTTAGTTTCATAAAAAAGTAGCAACGCGTTGTGAAAACCGCATCTTTGTAGCTCTACTATAAACGATAAACCTCATAAAACACACGAAAATGGGACACACTGTACATATTAAACAAGAAAAAAAGTATTAATTCCAAGAATCTTAAACGGTATCAATGAATAAATAATAATTAACCGGATGTATGAATTAAAATTGAAATCTAAACACCAGCGAAACTAGGTCAGTGTGCACTAAATGATCTAATCAATAATTAATACAAATTCCGAAATTAATTTTTGATATGATCCGACCAAGATGATTAGTATCGATTGCTTAATCTAGCGAGAAAAATCTTGTTTTTGTCGATTAATGAAATACGCATAATCTCTCCTAATTGGTTAAATATAAAGGATTAATTTAAAAGAGATACCTATAGATAGGCTTGAAAAGGATACTTTTTATGTGTCTGGTTAGAACTAGTACTTATGCCTCAAAGTAAGCTTGATATCTGAACATTTAAATAAGAATATGTAGGTATAATCGGTTAATGTACAGTGAAAAATTGCCTATCAAAAATAGTTCTAAATGCCAGTTTATGATCAGTTGGTTAGATAGTTATTTACTTCAAAAAATCAAATATTTAAAGAAGTCTTTCAGGAGGGGTTAGCTCTCTACTCCTGATTTTTTCTGTTAAAATAGTTACTTTCCCGAAGCAGAAACCTACCTTTCTTCTGTGTATAATGAGAACGGATTAAAGTAAGAGTAGCTCTTAAAAATAGGCACCAAACTTTTGTCAAATACCGAACCCATTTTGTTTAGCACATTGTTTGAAAAGTTTGTTGCATTGTCATTAGTCTTATAGATGGTATTTAAAGTAAGCAACATTTTTAAAAGCTAGTAATTTTTAGATTCTTTTAGAAAAAAAAAATATAAAGGTCTCAAATACATTCCAGCACTTCGGAGAATCCAGTGCTCCCTCTCCAACTCTTAGATATACAGGGTGGTCCAAATAGTATTTGGAAAACTTCAGCAGTATATTATGCAGATAAAAATAAATAAAAAAGTTCGTATAAATGTATGTCCTAAAATGCTTAGTTTTGGAGATACAATTCAAATTAATTTTTTCGAAATAATTTCTGAGCTAACACCGATCTTTGAATGAAAATTGGTGTCTGGGAGTTTTTTCACACGAGAAATTCGATGGCGATTTTTATTTCAGTATGACTTATATTTGTAGAAGACGCTGCCTACAAATTTTTATAATATATACATTTCCGTCATTTTTACGTAAAGAAAGGTCTTTTGGTAAAAATAGCTACGAGTAATGGTTCTCAAGATATTAAGAATCGAAAAATAAATAATACATGTCATAATTGACAAAAATTATACATGTTGACTGGATAGTTATTAATGTGAAATAACAAATTGTAAATGCCTTTTGTCCCAAAGTTTCAACAGAAACTGTTTAATCGTATTTTTTCTAGAAAAATTCATGATTGGCCTAAAAAATTAAAAAAATTACAAATTTATCATTTTAATTTTTTGTCAACAATGACATGTATTGACTGTTTCTATTCCAAATATCTTGAAAACTGTTGCTCGTAGTGATTTTTACCAAGATATATTTTTCACTCAGTATCTAGTTTTATGCAGGTACGGACGAAAAATTATTACTCTTCAAATCAGTTAAAAACATGTAGGTGGCGCACCCCTACAAGTGGGAGTTATATTGACATCAAAATCCAAATTTCACATGTCAAAAAACACCCAAACATCAATTTTTATTCAAATATAATAAAGTTAAGAAATTATTTGGAAAAAATCAAAATAAAAATGAAATTTCTACACCCTGTATCTCCGAAACGAAGCATTTTAGGACATACATATATACGAATTTTTTTACTTACTTTTATCTGCCCTATATGCTGCCAAAGTTTCCCGAATAGAATTTGGACCACCTTGTATATTTAAAATATTCCTGATTCCGCTGGTCTTTTGTGTCTAAAATATTCCCGATTGCAACTTTTCAAATGTCACCAATCAAAAATCACCTTGTAAATAAAGCTTATTTACAGGATTTTAGGAAAATTATACATTCGTAAAAATCAGTTTAATCAATTTTTAAAATTAAATTATTACAGGAAAAAGTAACACAGTGATGTAAAACTGCATTTTTGTAGCTCTACTCATAAACGAGAAACCTTGCAAAACACACAAATATGGGACACCCTGTACTTCAATTAATTGAACAAACTGAAACTATATCCATCGCTTGTGAATTTTCCAGGACAGCCTAAGTCAAACTAAATAACCCAAAATATCTGAAGAAATAATTAATCATTAATCCCAATCAGTGAATTAATCACTCCTCTTTTAATGACAAAACTAGCATTAAACCTTCGCCTGTGACATTCCCAACATTGTCGACATTTAGTTCATAGTCCACGTTATCGATATGTCGAGGTAATCAATACAAGTCGCGCGCCCAACTCCTCTTATTTTAGAGACACCCTGTATAATTCTTATATTCTATGCATTTAATCTGAGACTATTTATTTTTTTCAGAGAGAGGTTATTGAATGTTAATTTAGCATCTATAGATAGTCGAACCGTGGAAGAAATAAACATGTTTCTGACAGCGATCGACCAGAATCCGCCCATCATGAATCTGAACGGTTACGCTAATGTAAACCGAAAGTTAATCACCTCAGTAAGTATTTCATTTTATTACTATCGTAAGTACAATCATTAACATATATGTATAAATAAACTTGATGTGTTTATTTCTAAGTGCGAAATAAATATATTTTGGTAAACACACACATACAGATATTAGCATGTTAAATAGCATTCGAAAAATTAACGAATGTTATGTCAAAGGACCACTGTGGCGCTGCTTTTTTCGATCGTCAAGTATTTGTACTTAGTTAATATCATTGCCTGTTGGTATACAGGGCGTCCCAGGCTGAGCATGTATTAAAAGTTTCTAGAGAACTACAATATATAGATCGGAGATTTTTTTACACATTATTGTTACACAACGAGAACTATCGATTAAAAATACTTTCAATATGGCGGCACTTCCGGAAATACAAGAAGTTAACAACAACTTTCTTATTTTAAATAAATACCCAAATATTTTATTACATAGGGGAGAGTGGGGCAAGTGCGGCACAGGGGGCAAGTGCGTCTTTCGAAATAATTCATACATTTGGCATCATAGTCGACAACAATCAGTAAAGTTTACGTACCTATCAACAAGTGCATAGTGTTATTGAAAATCTAGCTGAAAATTGCTAAAATTAAGGTAAATATAAATATTTTTCGTATTCCATATCATGTGATGTAATATTTAAGGCCTACAACCTAGATTTTTTTCATAAATTAAGGGTAATATTTGGACATTTCTTTATGCTCATAACATAACCCTCTATCTCTGTGATAACGCCTGATATGTACAACGTTGCCAAATGTACCTGTACTTTTTAAAATAAATATTCGAATTATTAATGTCACCTTGGGGCAAGTGAGTCTTTTTCATGAGTCACTTGCCCCACAATAGTTTAAGTTATAAATAAATAATTCGTTCTTTTTCGCAGGTTGAAGATGCACAAAGAGGGTCATATTCAGAGGATGCTCTGCACCGTGCTTTAGAAGCTGTTCATAATTAGGAAATGTCATTAAAAAGAGCAAGTGTTGTCTTCAATATTCTGAGAACAACCATACAGTCACGATTAACTCGTCAAGGGCTCAATAAAGTTAGAAACTTAGGCAGATTTAAACCTCTGTTCACTGTACAAATGGACATAAAATTGCGAATAATGGAAATAGAATAGAGCGATTTTGAAGCGGCTGAAAATATTCTTCAAAAAAATTCAATCAAGAACGCGACGCGGCCGATAATATTCTTCAAGAAGAATCCATTAATTCAAAAAGAGCGTCTGTTAAGGTCATTCTTCAAAAGAACTCCAATCCGGAAAGTGTCAATTTGTCAATCATGTCCAAAAACTTAGCTAAGTTTGTGGGTGACTCACTTACCCCATACCTTGGGGCAAGTGAGTCATTTGACATTTTTTTTGTAAATCTGAAATTTAACCAAATATTTAATTTTTTGTTTATTTTTTTAAGGTAGATTACTACTTATACAGTTAAAGTTGGTATTTATGTCATAAACGTTTTTCTATTTCTTAAAATAAAAAAATAGTACATCATTGAACATTAAGGTGCCGCACTTGCCCCACTCTCCCCTACTTAAATTCTCTGTAAAATTTTATAAATTTGATATCAAACACTCTATACCTAACATTAACTTAACGGTTTTTGAGAAAAAAAAATTATTTATTAATTTTTGGAGGAAAAAAACTGCCTGTCAAAAAAATCTGTATAGTCTAAACGACAAATTAAGTGATTACCACAGCCACTGACGCATAAAGAGAAGACATGTGGCTATCTATTTCAAATATTAAATTGTTCGAATGTCATAATATTGGCCGTAGCTGTCATGAAATTGAGGGATTCAAAAATTATCATAAATCATTTTTTTCAAATGGAAACCCACTTTTTTTATTTCACTAGTGAATAGGATTTTCAATTCATTACTTTTTGATTATACATGTTCCTATAAGTTGCTAAAATAAATCGTTGTTTAAGATTTAGTTTTAAAGCGTAATTTTTTCTTGATTTATCGAGCTTCCTTTGACATTAAGTGTCAAAATTATCAGACAATTTATATTCTTCTGTCAAAAAACTAATTATTTGAATTTCGTATACTATAAATACTGCTGGTAAAACTTGGCCAAATATAGTTTTACATCGTGTGACGTTTAAAGTCATAAGCAACTAGTTAAACAATAAAAAATATACTCTTTAAAACGAAATCTTAAATAACTTAAAAACGATTTACTTTAGGTATAGAAACATGTATAATAAAAAAGTAGGTAACGAATTACAAAACTTTTTCATTAGTGAAATAAAAAAGTGGGTCTCCATTTGAAAAAAATGATTTATTATAATTTTTTAATCGCTCAATTTCATGACAGCTAAGACCAATATTATTTATTAGATAACATTCGAATAATTTAATTTTTGAAATACTAAATTTGTCGTTTAGGCTATACAGATTTTTTTGACAGGCAATTTTTCCTTCAAAAATTTTAAATATTTTTTTTTCAAAAACGGTCAGGTAATGTTAGATATAAAGTGTTTGATATCAAAATTGATAACATTTTACAGAGAATTTAAATATGTGATAAAGAATGGGAGTACCCATTTAAAATAAGAAAGTTGCTCTCAACTTCCGTTATTTCCAAAACTGCCGCCATATTGAAAAAGTGTCTAATCGATAGATCTCGTTGTGAAACAATAATGTGCAAAAAATCTCCGATCTAGATATTGTAGTTCTCTAGAAACTTCTAACGCACGGTCAACCTGGGACACCCTGTATAGGGAAGCGACAGTATCTACAGGAGTCCCTCGTTCGAGTTTGTATGTATGTAACTACATATAAACAATAACAAATCGACAACTTGTCGAGTAGTAATATGCGATGAGAAACAGCAACATAGATATTAGTTATCGGCAACGTTAATATTGGAAATGATAAATAATATAATAAAAAATTGTCCCATGTGCAAGTGCTTATAATAAGATATCAAATTAAAGAGATAGCTGATTTAGGAAAGTCGTTGCCTGGAGAGGGATTTAAAGCTGAAGAAAAAAGTTTCAAAATTAAAGAAGACGTTTTTGTGGCATTGACATCATACAGTTATTAATGTTCATACATACATCTCCCCCCTTTGCCGTTTTTCAAATAAGTCTAAAATGAATGTGATGAAAATAATCCATAATCAAGGATAATATATAGGGAGATTAAAATAACTTTGATTGCACATCATAATAAGACCACCAGCAAACTCCATAACACGACGCATGGTGTCATTGATGTGGTTGCATGGTGTCATTGATGCCCAAGGTTGTGCACCCAAAGTTGTTTTAATTTCTCGAATTTTTCCTAAAAATGGTCCCAAAAATCATAACATAATGGTTATATAATTTCGTTTATTCTTTGATAGATTGTCATTAATAGAATACTAATTAACGTCATATTTTTTGCTGTTTTAAGATGTTGAAATAGCTCAAAATTTATTTAGTTCAATACTACGGTAGCGGAATGGTAAGGGTGATAATATTTGGATGATAATCCGAAAAAACTTTCTCGACATACAGTATGTTTCTGGATTGTCTGTACACAAGGAAAAACTTTTTTGTTATTGACATTTTGAGAAAAAAAATCCTTGTTTTAAAATGGTTAATCCAGTTTTTACCTTTCCAAATTTCCATACCGTTTTAGAGAAAATTGAAAAAACGTGAAATTATGGTTGAATTTTTTCCAAGTCCTAAAAAGTAAAAGGCATTATGGTAATATAATTTCGATTTCATTCTTTGATAGATGGCTATTATTAAATTTGATTAACGTCATATATTTTGATCTTGTTAAAGTATCACATTTTCCGATAATAATGATCACCCTTTACGTAGCATTGAACAGATTGAACTAAATAAATTTTGTGCTTCTTATTTAACATTTTAAAACAGCCAAAAATATGGCGTTAATCAAAATTAATCAGAACCATCTACCAAAAAATGAAATCAAAATTATATTACCATAGAAACGCCCCTTGATTTTTAGGAATTCAACCATATTTTCACGTTTTTTTTTTAATTTTCTAAAAGACTATAAAAATTTGGAAAAGTATAAATGGGATTAACCATTTGGAAACAAGCCAAGTTTTTCCTCTTGTAAACACAATCCGGGGACCTACTGTAAATTCTTTTATAAGTATGTAGATTATGCTGTGTACACAATGGCCGTTTTTTATTAGCTGAAATCTAGTAAAAATTATATTTAATCGAATATAATTTTTATACAAAATATCATGCTCTAGCCGCTTTAAGTCCAAAAAGAATTTTGAATCGATTTATTAAATCAAAAGTTATACCAAGTTCATATCTAGCCACCTACCAAGTTCAATAATTAACGCATTCGTTACTCTTTAATGCCGGGCACTGTAAAAAGCGGGTATTTGAAATATTCGTACCGTCCGGGTACTATTGTTATGCAAATAACAAAGTTATCGCACCGAGTGCAATACATAATTCATACGTTTTTTTTTGGTGTTTCGCTCGTCGACTTATGTTAATCAAGCGATTCATTCAATAAATATTGCCATTCATCTCCGAGAATTAAGCGATTGTGTTGGATTAATTAGCTATTTATTAAATAAAAATAAAAAAAATCTTTTGGAAAATATTCGTTAAGTTCTCAATATTTTAATGAAGCTAATAATAGACTGTTATAATAAGATACATAATTGGTAAATTATTTTTTTTTCTTAACTTGGAAATGTCTGGTTACATGCTTCACAAATCGTTGTAATATCTTGAACAATATCGTACATGGATTATATGGGTATAGTACAACAAGCTAACTATGTCAAATATTACATATTAGGGTCACTATGGCTTCAGATATGGATGGAAGTAAATTCAGTAGCACAATTAGATCAAGAATCACACTTGCAACGCCGCAGAAAAGTTCTAGCCCTATGAATGACATTGATGATCCTTGTTTTGTCATTTCATCTGCATTTTCGTTACTCTTATGACCTTCATGCTCTGGTATCCAAGCTAACGTAACATTGTTACGTTATCCTAGACTAACCAAGGAACCAAGAAACAGCATGGCGCATCTTCACCAAATGGCAAGAAAGAGAGCGAGAACCTCTCACATGTCCAATGTAAGGACACCGAGTTGGCGAGTCATCAACTCGAGAGTGGAGGGTTATACGAGTAGTCAAGAATCCCTTCACAATAGAAATTGACCTCAAATCCAAGGAGGCAACAGAGAGATATATATCCTCTACTATAGATTCGAGACAACACCGATATCAGGTCTAGGGAGAGACTAAGTTAAAGAGGTGGAGAAAATGGAGACAGATCCTCCAGCTTCCACCTCACAGGCACCTCAGCCTGGACTGTGAAGAGCAAGGAGGTCCAAACCTTAACCGTGGAACGTTTTATACGTTCGTAGGAAGTAGATGTCCACTCCTCGAAGGAAGAACATGTGTTGTCAGAGGATGGGAAATACCTTGTCACCCTACAACAAGAAAATCCCTATGTCTCCATGTATGATGACTCTATGATGTGTTATAACTCAAGAAAAGGGGACACAATAGATCTTTAAGGTCGCAGTGATTAACCCTCCTCTCACTCATTCTACATTCTTCATCCTATTCTAGTCTCCCATAATAACATACATGGTGTAAAATGGCAAAAAATAAAGACTTATCCACCCATGTCTCTTTCCGTCTCTATTATAACCAGGTGAAATAAATTAGAATATCCCCCCTAGTAGTTTCTAATTTCGTCGGCCGTCGTGCATTTTGAAGTCTTATTTCGATGTCGAGGCGTTGACAGGAAGCAAACGTGAATGCCTTGAGGCCGACCGCCAGAACGCATCACCGAACACGATGGGCGCACGAGATCGAAACTCAATAGCTCGGCCACCTAAGTCGCGCAAAAACGGCACGGCACGGTTTTCAGTCCTTTTATTAATTTCATTTGTACCATTACTTACTCTGTATTCAGTTGATTTAAGATGAATATGTACTAA